GGGGGGGGGGGGAAGGGAGAAGAGGATGTTTACTTAAGAGCTATCTCACTTGCGTGAACCTCTTGTAGCTTTGTCTATGCAGTCTCAGTGAGTTATTACTCAGCAATTGTGAACAGCAGCTGACTGGACATGTCCATAGTTACTCATAAACAAGTATGAGAAACGCCCCAATACCCCAAAACCCATTTGGATGATGTTTGTGTTACTGCCTACATACATGAGTGGGTAACGCATCCCTCTTCTACAGAGTGCCTTAAATAAAACGGGGGTTTGAAGTTGCACATTTTCAACATGCCCAGAAAGGCAAATGTGGAAGTCTAAAAGCTGTTGATTCCTTGGGGGTGGAGAAAGAAACCAATTGGGCAAGTCAAAGTGCCAAGAGGGGATAAGGAAAAGGGTGAGCCAGATTCCAGAAGCAGCCAATACAACTGTATGCCCTACCTACTGGGTGTATTCCTAGGCTGCTATTTCTGAAGTGTCCAGTGACGTGTGGAACTTCACGTAATGAAGGTTGCTATTTAGAACCTTTTACCCCGCCAGTGACCTAGGTGGGGTCCAGATGTGGTGACTCTCTCTTCACCCCTTAAAGCCAACATTCCTTTATTAAGCTTCACTGGGGTATGAAAAAGGGATAGGGCAAGAGAGGGTTAAGTGTGGCTTATGTATGACAGACTGCCATTCACAGCAAGAAGGGTAGATGTGGGAAAAGAATGAACCAGAAGGATCCCTACCACCACCACCCCAACTCTAGGCTTGCTTCAAAAATGCTTCTTCACTCACAACTGTACAACTTTTTGAAGACATACACAAATAGTTATCCATACAGTATATCCCACTTCATTACCAACCACTCCCTTAACATCTTGATTTTACCCCACCCATCATCCCCTTTCCAAAACTGAATTACACAGAGGATCAAACAGAAAACCCACACGGCCATGAAGATCACAGAGGCTCAGATTGCCTTCAGTGACACCGAGCACTGGAAGTCAAAGGGAACACTTGGATTAAGATCAGTGTGAGAGGGGGAAAGTCAACCACACAACAAAGGAAACCATACTTTATTAAACTGGAAAACAAAAACATAATACTGGGGACAAAGAGATTAAAAAAAAAAAAAGAATGGCTGGAAGACAGGCAAGTGCAAGTGGTCACAAGGAAGGGACAAGACGGGTGGTCTGTGGTATCTGTGCACCTCAAATGTGCAGGCACACACCCCGTCCCCTTGACCCCCGTCGCACTTATACCAAAAGCCAATACAATCAGATCTTCAGAGATACATCCAGGCCTTCTTTCTGCATCCTGTAGCTGGTTTCACCTTCAGCCCTGGACAGTCATGTAGGGTCTTTGCTGGAGAAAATTTAGATTTTCCAACCATAGGTCTGCTCCACAAAGCAGCAGTTTCAGCTCCTGAAGAAGTTTTCTCTCCTAGTTGTGCTCACCACGGAAGCCAGGAGACCTTGGTCAAAGCCCGAAATCTCAAAGAAAAATGTCAAACCTTCAGAACTAGTTATTTTATTAAATGATATTAATACACATTTCAAAAGGATTTCATTGTTGTTGCCTCTAAAGCATGTACTTGTTTTGTTTTCCACACTGAACACGTGAGAATATCATTCAACATATCTAATTTTAATCTTAACAGGCACCCCCACCCATTCAAAAAGGGGGGGGGAGGAAAAAAAGGGGGAGAAAGCAGTATTTTACAGCGGCTTCAAAACAATTAACAGCTGAAGCTTAATTCTGCATGACCCGATAACTTCAGGACTGATAGTGAATATTCTGCATTAGGAAGTTTAGCATATTCACATTATCCAGATAGGTTAGCTGTACCATATATATCACAAACGTTGTATTCCTGGGATCAAAAAGGATAAAAGTCCTACTCTCTTATCATTTTACCCTCCCTGGCATCAAACCAAAATCCATTTATGCTCACCTTTTGGGAGGGCAGAGAGAAATAGGGAGGGGGCTGTCATCTAAGCTGACTGGAGAGTAAACTCTCAATACTTAAGGACTTGATTTCTGATACTATCACTGCGTTTTAAGCAGTACCAGCATATTCACGACCCCCCCACCAATTCTCTGTCTGTGATTTTACAGTGAGCACCAAGACCTTAGTAACAACTTCGCATATTCTGATTTCATATAAATCATGTCCTTGCCAAGACACACTATGTTATGCTTTCTTTAAAAAAATCTTGTTTATTATATTTTTAAACTCAGGTTGAAATACAAAAGTCAGAGCATGGGCGTGGAGTTTTAAATCACAGACACAGAAAGAATAAAACCCCTTTGTTTCATGTTATGAATACCAGAATTGTCTTTTTTCACTATATCACATATATACACTGTCATCTTCATTTACTGCTGTAGACAGACTTCCTTAAAGTTAACACCCGACAGTCACATACAAATCCTCCCGTCCATCCTGAAACAAACTCAATGAGGATTTTGTAGCTTAAAAAACAAAACACCCCACAAAAGAGCCCAACCCTTAAAAGTCCATCTTTTAAACTGTACAAGGTCTTCCTTTCATGTATTAGTCATCATGCTTTTGAGGACAATCACCCTGCCCCAACATTTAGGAAGCCACTTTCCTGACATCTCCACATTTTCTGATAAAATCAAATGGTCAGAGAGCCTTTTCAAGTAAACGTTACTTTTAGCTTAAACAAGAGCAGCAGAAAGAATTCACATTCTTTTATTCTAGAATGAAAAACATCCCACTTAATTTCTGCAAAAAAAAAAAAAATCCATTTCAGTTTTGAGTCAATTAGAACTCTCTCCCCCCCTCCCCCCACCCCTCCCTTTACTCTTGCTTACACTTTTCCCTAAACAAATGTCTCAGGACTCAACATAACTATATCATTTCTTTGCTTTGCTACACTATACACCCCACTCCACACAAAAGGTCATGGCATCATGCATTTTTGTGGGGGAGAGCTATAGGGCGGAGAGTCTCGAGAGGGTCAAAGACACAACAGTTGGCTTAAGACCAGAAATGCATCAGGAAGATGAAGGACTCGTGGCCTCCTAGCCACGGAGCACATGGCGAGCCCAAATAAATAACATGGAATAAATTACACAAAAACTCCCAAACTATGACGCACACCTGGTTTAAGCTGCTCTTGATCTGAAAAGCAAGTTTATGCTGACACAAAGAGTCATCTTCTGTCACTATGTTGTCCACTCTCCCCCATCTTTAATATTTTACTAGAGGAATCCAAAGCAATCCCTATACTTCCTACAGTTCTATACTCACATAGAAGAAAATATGAAACTTGCTAGGATTCCCTAAAAAAAGAACACATATTGTTTTACTCATCTAGCTGGATATTACCAGTGTGTATACCTTGGGGTAAGACACTAAATAATATAAAATAATAGTAAAGCAGTATTTGCTTTTCAGTGTTCCTTGATATAAAGTTATAAACACTCAAAGCGTACTGATTGTCTTTTTTCCCAGTACTAGTTGTGGAAATATAAAGAAGCCTTTCAGTTTGGGGAGAAGGAAAGCAAACCATTCTTGTGTAAAATGACTAAGGGCAGAAACATTCTTTATTTCCTAGGGGAAGCGGAAGGTGGGGATAAGGCTTGAGCCTTGAAATGTGACAGGCTGCTAGCTGTAGAATGGGGGAAATTTGGATTTCTCAGGTCCTCCTCTGTAAAGATATGTATACCCACTTGTCACTAAAACACTTCTGAAGAGGTAGAATGTATAGCAAGATGTTATCCAACCTCCTCCTTTGAAATACCAAGAACAGGGGTAAATGCAGGACTAGGGCGAAGAGGAAAGAAAGATGCAGGTCAATAGTTCCCTTTCCCTACTACTCCACCTTTGCTGAAAACCATCAAGCATCACTTAACATTTGGGAGGCATCATGGTAAAAAATCTATCTCTTACATTAAAAAATTCAAAGGTAATATTTCAGTTGCGCCTTTATTAGCAATTGTCAACTGTAGTGACTTTTCTTTCTGGCCAAAGCAGACGTGCAAACCGAGGGAGAAAAAGTCAATCAAGAAAGAATAGCAGGAAGCATGAGCTTGGTTGCAGGACGTGCCAAGCTATAGAAGTCTCCCGTTTGCATTTATGAGCGATGGGCAGGTCACACGGCACCGTTACTGGTTCCTGTCTCTAACTCTAACATTGGAGGCACACCTTATTTTAACCTGGAGATTATATTTAGCCCCCTCTCTTTCATTCCAAGGATGAAGAGTAATAATTTTTACTAGGATAGAATGACACCTGTATCTCCTCAAAGTTCCAAATAGTCCTTTAGAAGAAGAGGTTCATTTCTTTTTTTTTTTTTTTGGTAAGATTTTAGGAGAAAGGTAAAGAACCCAACTTCAATAGGTCTTTAAAAAACAAAACAAAACAAAACAAAACTTCAAAGGTCCACGGTCTCCCACCTATTTCCCCTTGCAACATCTCTCGGCTTGTCAGCAGGGCACAGAGCATACAGGAAAGGGAGCCAAGCTGGTCACAGTAGTTACTCAATGGGAGAGAGAAGGGGAAAGGGATCCTTCCATTGACTACTTGATAAGCCAAGCCCAAAGAACATCCCAACATTGCACGTTATTCTCTGTACTGATGGAAGTTTTATTTCAAATGTAATACTCTTCAGTAAATGGGTAAGATTTGTTTTCCTCCCCACCCCCTCAAACCCCCAGCCAAATGAAATGGCTCTGGTTGTGTTTCTTTGCCCCCCAGCCTCTGTAAAATACAAGTAGCTTGGGTTAAGTGCAGTGGGAGAGCAGACTGGATGGAATAGTGAAATGCAAGCATGTTTGACTTTTTAATTTCGAAGGGAGGCCCTTTGTCATTAAAAAAAAAAAAAAAAAAGATCAAAGTAAGGAAATCAAATAAAAACAATAATAAATCAAACTCCTACTTCCAATGCTCTCTAGACTGTTCAAAATGCTTTTCCCTTGGTTTCCATCAGTACCTGGGAGGGAAGAATGGGCGTTTTGGTGCAAAGAACGGAGGGCCCCTAGCAAAAGGTGGCCTGGGTCTCTTTAGACTGTGGAATGGGTCTCTGCTGAGAAAAGGTTCCCTAGGCCGAAAGTCTGGCCGGGGATTCCGCAAAATCATACCACTCCGGTTGATGGCGTCTCTGTGTGAGGGACCCAAGTGGGGGCCACTGCTGCTGTTGCTGCCTCCCCCACCTCCTCCTCCATGGGCTGGGCCCAGATGCTCCAGAGAATGGGAGGGTAGGCTGAGGCTCTCTCGTACACGGCTAAGGCCAGGGCCGTTGAGGTCCCGTTGGGTGGGGCCCCCATGGTCCCTGGGTCCTGGGAGCACCCCAAAATGCTCAGCCAGGGTCCCTTGAAGAAGGGAACTATGGTCCTTGGGAAATACTGCCACAGCTCCCGCCACTCCGTGCTCTGCCAGTGGTGGAGCTGGGAAGGGTACAACCCCAGAGTGGTCAACAGGGGGTGGAGGAGGAGGTGGAGTAGAAAAGGGAACACCACTCCCACCACTGCTGCTATGTTCCCCAGGGGGTGGAGGAGGGGGTGGGGTGGGGAAAGGAACTCCGCTGTGCTCTCCAGGAGGAGGGGGTGGGGCAGCATGGGCCAGGGCCGCCTCCTTTGTGAAGGGGTTCGAAAGATCCACTGTGGGTAGATGAGTGGGTGCATCTCGAGAGAAGATACCCCCATGATCCTTAGGAGGGGCAGGTGGGGCAGATGACGGCCCCACTGGCTCTCTCTGGAAGGGTGTCCCATGTTCCAAGGGGGATGGGGGGAGATGATGCTCAAATGTTGAGTTGAAACTGTTGGAACGGAAGCTGCCGACACTTTCCTGAAATTGGGATGCCCGTTCCTTGTATGGTGCTGCTTTAAAGCCAGTGAGGCCTCCGCTGCCCCCACCCCCAAGGGATGCCAACTCAGAGGCACTTGTGGGGCCATTGTCAAAGGAGCTGCCTGAGGTGCTCAGATCAAACCAACCCACCCTTGAAGCCTCGCGCCCGTGTCCTCTATTTCCCTTCCCAGGAACTCGGACGGACTCTACGGTCTGTATCGGCTCCCCTGACATCCTCCTATTGGATGCGTTATGATAACCCAAGGTTTCTATAGGGGCCCCCTTCTCTTCGGTGCTGTCAGGCAAGTCTAAGCAGGAGGAGGAGACTCGGGTTTCTATGCGGTAGTGCTCTTCTTGCTGCTGCTGATCGGTGGCTGTCAAGCTGGGCTGGGCGAGGTTTGACAGGCCGACACCATCACTTGAAGTGCCCTTGCTGGGGGCCTGGCCAAAATGCTTATCATCCGAGGGCTTTCGCGAGGCATTTTTAAGCATATTCTTAAACTCAATCGTCGACGTGGTGGAAATGGTGGGGGCCAGGACTTTCTCCACGCCTGGTGTGGGTGGGTGGCCCGTGGGAGCGGCAAGGGTATTCTGCGGAGAGAAAAGGGAACGATGTGGGACTGGGTGAGGAGGCTCTGGGTACTGCTTCTGCGGCAAACCGAGATGCCCAGTGGTAGACTGAGACAAGCTATTGTGGTTGGAGTCAGGGGTGAAAAATGAATCATTCTTACTCGGTGACGGTGACCGGTCAGACCCCGGTTCACTCCCTCTTATGCTGAAGGCACCAAATAGCCCGGGGGAAGAGGAGAGACGGTCACAATTCTCACTAGAGTCCAGGAGAGCCCTTACAGATGGAGGGAAGGCAGACTTTACCCCGAATTCTTGGGCCCTGTGGCTATAACTGGAGAGGATTGGCTGGTATTCGGTGGTATCAGAGAGCTTGCTTGACTTCAGGATAGACTTGGCCGGCTTCTTCTCTAGGTTCATCATGGCAGAGGGTGGAGGCCCTGAGTATTCAAAATCTCGGTAATCCTCATCTTCCTGGAAAGAAGTATCTGGATAGAACTTCTCCTGTGAAGAGTCCATCAGGGAAGATGGCCTCTCCATTCCATCCGAAGGCTGTTTATAGGGTGATTCACTGCCCAGGCCAAAAGGTCGATATGTAGATACAGAATTGGAGAGTTCCCGGGGGTAGCTTTCCTCTCTCCCAGGGGGTGGTGATCTTGTACTGCTGGGTGTTGAGGAACCAGGGCTAATGATCTTAGAAAGCAGGGACATGGTGTCTACACTGCTGGATGTGGGCTTGTCCATCATCTCATCCTGGGTGGGCGTCCCACTCCGTTCGTCCCGCACAGGGGTTCCGTCAATGTTGTCAATTGACGTGCTAGTAGGGCCACGCTGGAAGTCTGAGGGGTGGCTTTCTGCTGGGGCACTGGACCCCAAGCTGCTCAGGATTGGGATGTTTAAGTTTAAGCCACTGAAACCAGGATTACCTTTTAAGAAGTTGTGGATCTTCATTTCCAGGCTTGGAGAGGTGGACTCAGACTCCAGCTTTGGCTTGGAGATCTCTGAAGATTGGCACATGGCAACTTCAGTAGGTGGGGCAGCAGGGCTAGTACTGTGGGTTCCTGTAAACCCCATAGAGTTGGATGGTAGCTTAAAAGTAGTGCTTGGGAGCCCTGGGCTTTGCCCAATTGAGGCCTTGCTAGCTGATGTCGAAGAGACTTCAGAAGTTGATGAATTAGGAGAATAGTTGAAGCTTTTAGGAATAAAGGATTGGGTACTGGAGGACAGATTTCTTCCTTTGATGCTAGAGACTGTGGTGTTTGCAGGGGAAGCTGAAGTGCTCTGGGATGCAGCTTCGCTGGCTGGGACTGGGTTCCCAGTAACACTCTGAAGTAAAGATGACAGGCCTGTAGAAACAGAGATTAAAGGAGTTAAAAAGAACAACTGCCTGCCCTACAATTAAAACAATGTAGGCTAATCGGATATTCTCATTCATTCCAGCGGGAACCAGATAGACATTAAAATATGAGGCCAAAGAGAATCCAGACCAAACAAGCAATGGCTAAATGTCATAGAAAATACTGGACCTATTTCTCAATATAAAGAGAGCAAATTACTGAAATGTTTCTAGTACAGTCATCAAACAAGTCTAACACAGCACAATAAAAGGCAACAGGAAAGGGAAGATTTTAGTGTCAGAATCATTCATAGTTTAAACAAGACAAAGCAGGAAGAGAAAGGAGGCAAATTATCCTTAAAATAATACTTTAAGCCAGTATTTCTTAACATTTGATCTGTAGAACTGTTTCTGTAAATGCAAATAGATATTCCTTTCTAGCCTCTGCAATTGTTTCTAGTATGTTAACGAACACTGTTATTTATTCTCAAGAGAGAGATCACGTATGCACATTGCTGAAATTTGTTTGAACAGGACACTTTTTTCAAGCATCTCTTGCTAGACTTTGGGGAAACAATGGTTTCACTATCATTTTTGGTTGTAAAATGTAGCAATAGTAAACATGCAAACACACACCCCAAAGACTTACAAAGCTAGATCATCTTATAGCTTGGAAAATTTAAGAATTATTCATCTACCCAAGTTGACACTGATGAGATTCAACCCTACTCACTGATAGACAAAACCTCAGAAGCTCTGAGAAAGAATTCTTTGGGGTAAAGGCTGAAGTCCACCAAAGCAAACTGCTCCTCCTGTAGAAAACTTTTTAGAAAAATACTTGACAAAGAGATAAAAGGAGGTCCTATAAATTCAATCATGTGTTGGCAAATTTACCCAATTTCTGGTCATAAATGAAAACCTTTTGGGCATACTTCACCCGGATTTGTAGCTTTTCGTCATACACTAAAACTGTTCCTTCATAATGGTGTGATGAAAGACACCAGTACTTTATATGGTACTTTACTTAATGATTCTTCAAGATTTCAATTTTAATCCATATTTACCAACAGACTTAAGCTCTGAAGAATTCGGAGATTACTCCATCCTTGGAACATTAAAAAAAATTTTTTTTTTAATGTTTTATTTGTTTTTGAGAGACAGAAACAGAGTGTGAGCAGGACAGGGGCAGAGAGAGGGTGACACAGAATCTGAAGCAACTCCAGGCTCTGAGCTGTCAGCACAGAGCCCGATGCAGGGCTCAAACTCATGAACCGTGAGATCATGACCTACACCAAAGTCGGACACTTAACTGACTGAGCTACCCAGGTGCCCCCATCCTTGGAACATTTTTAACTGCCATAAAGTTATATATTTAATGGTGCATGTTATCTAATATTCACTAATATCTGAATAACAAATATTATTTCAATTATCCTGCTGAAACAAACAAACAAAAAACATGTTTCATTTCCGAAAAGTTCTCTGGCTATGTAACTTCCCCCTCCTAACAGTTTGATTTAATTCTTAGCAGCCACTGTTCATACCAAAATCAGAAGTCCTCAAGCACTAGAACATGACATATGACATCATGATTTTTAAGATATTTCAGCATATCTTTCAGATACTGTGGGATTTCTTCAAAAGATCATCTTGTTAAGATAGACACTACTCAGATTTCTGATAATAGGTGATATAGTCCCTTACCACTAAATGTTAATATTGTTCTTTGATTTTTTTTTTAAGTTTATTTATTTAAGAGAGAGTGAGAGAGGGAGAGCGAGAGAGAGCACGTTGTCAGTGCAGAGCCAGACTCGTGAGGTCATGACCTGGGATAAAATCAAGAATCAGACACTTAACTGCCTGAGCCACCCAGGCACAGCACCTTTCTTCAATCTTAACGGGCCATACTCTATTGGACTTTTTGCCCATTGAAGTCATTCTTTTGTGTTAAAAATCTGTCAATAATGGCTGTGGGTGACACAATCAGAGCAAAGTTCTAAGAGATCCCTTAGAATCTCTATAGGCTTTTAAAAATGCATCTATTTAAGTTGCTGGATAAAGTTTCTTAAAAGTCAAGCATTCTATCTTCCACAAGGAAATGAAAGGTGATGAACCACCCAGTTACTCCACAAAGATGGAGTCTTCTGGGGTCCCCAAAAACACATGCTGTCAGAACACCTAGTTCTGTTCAAATTTTGCCTGATGAGAAAGTCCACATGACGCTGGTGTCATAATCTACTGAAAGGAAAAGCTGTAAGTATTATTAATGTCCCCTGGAGGTTCCTGGTTGAGAACTTTGATACAGAGTTAAATCACTGTATTGAAGATATTGCTCTGATATTTATAATTCACTGCATAATTATACTGAGGTGCTAAATAACGATTGTGCTTGTATCTGGAGGTTTTGAGAACAGAGAGCAGGTATGTTTTATGAAAAAATATTAAAGCAGTTTTAGACACAAAACAGATAATTAACAAAGTATACTAGGTTCAAATAAGGTAGAGATTACAGGTACAGAGATGTGCTATACCTACAAATAAAGGCCTCTAAATTAGGGACATAAAAAAAGAAAATCATTTCTCATAAGATTTTTGATGGTAGATTGACCTTTCTTACTGTCTTTAGCTTTGGTTAACATTAAAAATATAAGCCTCAACATATACTAACCGGTCCTCAGAGCTGGAATAAATGCAGCCCCTAGAGGGCTCATGGTGTAGGTAAAAGAATACTAGAATCCAGTCAAGCAATCTGGCTTTTAGTCTCAACTCATCACTGAGTAGATAAATTTGTAACCTTAATCAGGTCACATCACTTCACTGAGCCTTATTCTCCTCACCTGAAAAGGAGGGGATTAGACCAGATGGTATTTTGTCTCTTTCAGCTTTGACAGTTTCTGATTCTATAAATGCCAGCTTGTAGATAAGAAATATAAATTAAGACAATGAACTAACTGTATTATACATTTCATGGCTTTGGATGCTTCAGAACTGGAACCCAGGATTAAGCCAGAGACAAACAATCACAATTCAAGTCCCTGTGGCACAGGTCAGTTTACCTTGCAGTGCAGGGGCTGACTGTGTCTGGGTTTTGGAAAGAGCAGACAGAATGCTCTCTGGGGTGATCTCCACCTTTGAGAGGATATTTGCCAGAGGATTGTGAGATGTTGTCGGGGCAGGTGCAGGTGTTTTCAGGCCAGTGCTGAGGTTGCTGGGACTTGTAGGAGTTCCTGGAGAAGGTCTTGATGCAGGACTGACCCCTGGTGGCAGAAAGATTAACTCAAGAAAATTCGGTTCAAAATGACCATTAAATTCACAATAACTTTCCACTCACTCAAACCAGTTTGGTATGTTTAACAGGAATGCTTCTGTGACAGATCCACAAATAGGGCATATCATGGCTTGTACAAAGGAAAAAATATGAAAATTAGATTAAAATTTGCTGTCTACTTTGAACACCCCTAAAGTAAACAAGTACTTTCAGATGTATTTTTTAGTTTTCAGAGCCAAAAGAGACTTAGGGAACCTACTTCTTTTCTTTCTACCAAATGGCATCAACACCACAGAATCTTGTAGGTGCTCAGTAAATATTGCTGGCTTATTATGATCAGAGCCATTCCAATTGTGTAACTCAACCCACTGCATAATTCTATGTGATTAATAAATTATTTGCTTTTGAAAAGGCCTTTAAAATGAGATCATATAAGCAACTTCCTTTACATCTTTATATTTTATTTATTTTTTTAAGCAAGTTCCATGCCCAACATGGGGCTTGAACACATGACCTTGAGATCAAGAGTCCCATGCTCCACCAACTGAGACAGCCAGGTGCTCCTACATCTTTGTATTTTAAAACACTGTGTTAATTTTTAATTCAGAAAAAAAAGGGTATATAATAAAAAAAAGAATAATTTTTGAATGACAAAAATATGAATAGGTAGATATTTCACAAAGAAAAATAAAAATGAAAAAGTTTTTATCACATTGTTAATCAAAAAAATGTAAATTAAAACAAGTTACTTTTTTTTTTTTTTTTTTTTAAGTAATCTCTATACTCAATGTAGGGCTTCAACGCATGACCCTGAGATCAAGAGATGCATGCTTGAGGTACCAGGCTTGATTCAGTTGGTGGAGTGTGCGACTCGATCTCAGCGTTGTGGGTTTGAGTCCCACATTGGATGTAGAGATTACTTAAAAGGAACTGCATGCTCTACTGACTGAGCCAGTCAGGCACCCCAAAACAAATGACTTTTAAGACTGAATTTGACAAAGATTAAAATAAAACAAAATAGTGCTGGAGAGGCTGAGAAACAAAGGGAACTTTCATGTGCTTGGTACATAAAATAGTACATTTTTGGTAATCATTTTAGTATAACATGAAAAGATTAAAAACCTGTATGTTGGCTGGGGGGGAGAGGGGAAAATGGGTGATGGGCATCGAGGAGGGCACTTGTTGGGATGAGCACTGGGTGTTGTATGTAAGCAATGAATCATGGGAATCTACCCCCAAAACCAAGAGCACACTGTACAAACTGTATGTTAGCCAACTTGACAATAAATTATATTAAAAAAAAAACAAACTGTATGGGTTTTTTTGGTCTTTATATGAGAAATATAAATTTAAGTTTTTATAAAGAAATTAAGTAATTGGGATTTTCTTCAAAATTATCAAGATTGGGTAAGGCACAGCAGAAACCAGAGTGGCCATGTGTTTCTACTGTTGAAGATGAATGATGTGTATGTACACAAAGGTGCTCTACTTGTGTGTATTTTCATTAACATTTCCATTAAGGAAAGAAAAAGCCCTATATACTCATCAACCATTTAGGAAGGGTTGTGCATAGATTTTAGCATCAAGGTGATTCATTATAGTATTCTTTAAAACAGTGAAAAATTACAAAAATATCAGATGTCTAGTAATAAAGGCTTAGATAAGTTCATATACAATATGCTTCAATTATTGAAAGAAAAATTATTACAAATATTTAATCTACCAAAACATTCACAGACACACACACACACACACACACACACACACACACACACTGGTAAAGTTAGACACAACTAGCGTCTTTCAGGGTAGTAGGGTTGCAGGTTATTTATTTTATTCCCTTATTTTATTTTTCTATAATGACCATGTATTCGTTTTTCGACTTAAAAAAATCACTGTTAATTTAAGGAAAAAAAGCAACAAAAAACCCAGACTGATGATGGTTCAATTAGAAAGATGAAAATAAGCCTTTTATCTTCTTTATGGGGCTTACTTACCAGTATTTTTCATGACTGATGTCAGGCTACTAAGGATGGAACTGATCTTTGCCAGATCCACATTAGCCAGGTTTGGCAAAGCCAGTGCTGGAGAAGGGGACAGCAGAGAAGTATTCACAGGCTTTGGAAGAGGGGGCGTTGCTGTCATGGTCACAGGCACTGGGGTACACGAAGAGGCCTTGGAGATACTTTCTGTTGGCTTTGTGGGTACAGAAGTGGAAGCAGCGGACTTCTCCGCAGGTTTTTCCTTCCTGTCCTCTACTGTTTAAAGAAAAGAGGTGAGACTGCATTACTGCTTTCCAGACTTGACTTCCAGTATGAAATGTGTCCTAATATATCTGGATTTGGGGGTATAAAGCACAATGCTTTAGAGAAAAATCATTCACTCACTTCATCATTTTTACATAAGCCATACTCTTTATGTTGCTTCTCTCCTTCAACACCTGCTTAAAATAAATTTCCCAAATTCATTTTTTATCTTTTTAAAGATTTATTTGCATTTTCTTAGTATACTGTGTATTAAATTTGTACATTTCTGGGATCATGTTATTTGGCACACATGTGTTCTTTTAGTTACAATATTTATAGTCATAAATTACCCTGTCTTTTCTTTTCCATTAACCTGAGAGCTTTCTAAGACATAGAAACTTATGCATTAAATCCAACAAAACTCCAACTGCCTAACAAGAATGATTATAAAGCTTGGGATGTCAGAGAAACAATGCACCAATCCAGGTTAATTCTGTTTGTGTGCATGTGTATATATGTTAGTTAGAATGTATGTAATCTCTACACCCAACATGGGGTTGGAACTCCAGACCCCAAGATCAAGAGTCACATGCTCTTCTGACTGAGCCAGCTAGGTACTGGAAAGACTGGGAGACTTTTTTTTTTTTAAAGTAATCTCCTCACTCGGTGTGGAGCTCCAACTCACCACTCCAAGATCAACAGACACGCCTAGTTACTGAGCCAGCCAGGGGCATGGCTTTGGAATCTTGGAAGGTCAAGAGTATAAGTGCCCCTCCTTCTAGAACAGTGCTGTTCAACAGAAATGTAATTCAAGCCACACATGTAAGTTTAGCTTTTCTAATGGCCACATTAGAAAAAAAAGTAGAGGGGTGTTAGGGTGGCTCAGTTGGTTAAGCATCCAACTCTTAGATTTCAGCTCAGGTCATGTTCTCACAGTTTTCAGCTGAGTTCAAGCCCTCCATCGGGATAGGCTCTGAGCCTGCTTGGAATTCATTCTTTCTCTCTCAAAATAAATATAAATAGACTTAAAAAAAAGGGAGAAACAAGTAAAATTAACTTTAATTATATATTTTACCTAAGCATCTCTCAAATATTTTCATTCTGTTATAAATATAAAAATTATTGGGGCGCCTGGGTGGCTCAGTCCATTAAGCGTCCGACTTCGGCTCAGGCCATGATCTCACGGTCCGTGAGTTTGAGCCCCGTGTTGGGCTCTGTGCTGACAGCTCAGAGCTTGGAGCCTGCTTCGGATTCTGTGTCTCCCTCTCTCTCTGACCCTCCCCCGTTCATGCTGTTTCAAAAATAAATAAACATTAAAAAAAAATTAAAGAACATAAATATAAAAATTATTGAGATATTTTCATTTTGGGTACTAAGTTTTCAGAATCCAGTGTGTATCTTTTTTAAAAAAAATATTTATTTTTGAGTGGGGTGGGCAGGGAAGGGCAGAGAGCTACGGTGGAAGAGAATCCAAAGTGGGCTCCACACTGACAGCAGAGAGCCCGATGCAGGGCTTGAATCCATAAACCATGAGATCATGACCTGAGTTGAAACCAAGAGTTGGATGCTTAACTGACTGAGCCACCCAGGTGCCCCCTTCCCCAGTAAGTACCTTTAAATCAGAGTACATCTCAAGTTGGACAAGCCACATTTCAAATGCTCAACAGCCACAAGTAAGTAGCTAGTGGCTACCATATTGAACAGAACAGATCTTGAGCAATGATTCTTAGCCCATGTGGCATACCAAATCCTAAACCGGGATAATAATACACTGCTGTTCTAATCTAATCTTGCTGCTCTTTTTTTTTTTTTTAATGTTTATTAAAAAAATTTTTTTTAATGTTTATTACTGAGAGAGCATGAAAGGAGGAGGGGCAGAGACAGAGAGGGAGACACAGAATCAGAAGCAGGCTCCAGGTTCTGAGCTGTCAGCACAGAGCCCGAAGCAGGGCTCGAGATCATGACCTGAGCTGAAGTCTGATGATTAACCGACTGAGCCACCCAGAGGCCCCTAATGTTTATTTATTTTTGAGAGAGAGAGAGAGAGAGAGAGCGCGCGCGCAAGTGGGGGAGGGGCAGAGAGAGAGAGACACAGAATCCAAAGCAGACTCCAGGCTCTGAGCTGTCAACACAGAGCCTGATGCAGGGCTAGAACTCACGAACCACAAGATCATGACCTGAGCCGAAGTTGGCCGCTCAACCGACTGAGCCACCCAGGCGCCCCTAATCTTGCTGCTCTTAATACCAGCTTGTGATAGATTCGTTGGTGGGAAAAGAAAATACGTAAGGAACAAGGTGCCCTTTAATCACATAAAGGACATACCAATGATTTTTGACCCATCATCTTCCACATCTGAGAGTTCCATGTCTTCCACATCACGATTATCTGTCACAGGCTCAGGTGTGGCAGACTTCTCACTCTCCATGGCTGGTGACTGGGATTCCTCACCTCCCATTCCCTGAAAAGGAGACTCGGAACCAGTTGGAGAAGGAGCATCCATGCTTGGGGAAGGGACTGGTGATTCTTCAGGATCAGGAAGGGTTGACTTCAATTGATCCAGCTTCTTCTTTAAATTGTTCACTCGATTAGCAAAGGTTTTGTATGCCTAAAAGAAAAAAAGAAGAGTTACTCCTCTGAGAAAAGGACTAAGATATTACTATTTTGACTTTGACCAGATTTCCTCGTTATTAACTATAGCACTGGTACAAAACAAACAAAAAAAAACCCAGGGCACCTGGGTTGTTCAGTCAGTTAAGTGTTTGACTTCTCAGGTCATGATCTCACGGTTCGGGAGTTTGAGCCCCACATCGGGCTCTCTGCTGTCAGCACAGAGCCTGCTTGGGATCTTCTGTACCCCCTTCTCTTTACCTTTCCCCTACTCATGCGAATACACTCTCTCAAAAATAAATAAACATTGAAAAACAAAATAAAAAACAAATCTGTCAATCGTGGAGTAGTTTCCAGTCTCTGCTTTTTTCCTTAAATGAATATTATCATCCATATAGTTGCCCAAGCTAGAAACTTTGAGGTTATCTGTACTTAATCTTCCCTTGCTCTTTTCTATCCATTTTACCAAACCAATATTTATTGAGAGTTTAAATGTGCTGGCCAATCTTCTAGGTACTGGAGACACAGTAATGACTAAGAAGATAGACAAAAATCAAATCCATAAAGTACTACAGCCTGGGAGGTCAAACAGTGTGGACTTTTTTAAGAAATAAACTTTTGGGGGGTGCCTGGGTGGCTTACTTGGTAATGTGTCTGACTTTGGTTCAGGTCATGATCTCACAGTTTGTGAGTTCGAGCCCCATGTCACGCTCTATGCTGACAGCTCAGAGCCTGGAGCCTGGAGCCTGTCTCGAATTCTGTGTCTCCCCCTCTCTCTGCCCTTCCCCCCCCCCCCCCCCATGCTGTCTCTCCTTCAAAAATAAACATTAAAAGACATTGGTGGTATAGTGGTGAGCATAGCTGCCTTACAAAAATAAATAAACATTAAAAAAATTAAAGAAAAAAAGAAACTTTTGATTTTATTATTATTTTTAAGTTTATTTTTATTTATTTTGAGAGAGAGATAGAGAGTAAGCATGAAAGGGGGAGAGAAAGAGAGAGAATACCAAGCAGGCTCCATGCTGTCAGCGCAGAGCCCAATGTGGGGCTCGAAAATCATGAACCATGAGATTATGACCTCAGACAAAGTCAAGAGTCAGATACTTAACCGAATGAGCCACCCAGGTGCCCCTAAACTTTTGATTTTAAAAGTTTTAGGTATAAAAAATTACTATAAAGATTATACAGAGAGTTCCCAATTTTCCCTTTTACTAACCTCTAATATTAGTATGATACATTTGTCACAATTAATGAACTGATTTTGATAATTATTAACTTAATTCCATATACTTCATGTAGATATCCTCAATTTTTAAATAATTTTTTTAATGTTTATTTTTGAGAGAGAGACAGAGCATGAGTGGGGGGACAGGGGAAGAGCAGAGAGAGGGGAGAGACAGACTCTGAAGCAGGCTCTAGGCCGGGAGCTGTCAGCAGGATGAGAGCCCAGGATGGGGCTTGAACTCACGAATCGTGAGATCATAACCCGAGCTGAAGCTGGATGCTTAACCGACTGAGCCACCCAGGCGCCCCTCCTCAGTGTTTATCTAATATCCTTTTCCTGTTCCAAGATCCATGCAGGATACTACAGTACATTTAGTAGTCATGTCTTCTTAGGCTTTTCTGTAAGTTTGTTAGATTTTCCTTGTTTTTGATAACCTTGACGGTTTTGAGGAGTATTGGTCAGGTATTTTGTAGACTGTCCCTCAAATAAGATTTGCCTGATGTTTTCCTTCTGATTAGACTGAGATTATAGGTTTTTGGGAGGAAGACCACAGAGATAAAGCACTATTATCACCGTGTCATATCAAGGGTACATATAACCAATATGATGTGCCATTGTTGATGTTAACCTTTATCACCTGGCTTAAATTCTATTGCTCTAATTATCTTAATACCAATACCCTAAAATTGTCTGTCTTTTTCTTTTGTTAAGACTCTTGGACCATTAGATTGTGAGATCACTTTGGTAGATTGAACAAGAAACATTATTTCTTTGAGAGAGAGAAAGAGAGAACGCAACCATGTGCATGTGCCTGTGTGCAAGCAAGGGAGGGGCAGAGGAAGAGGGAGAGAATCCTAAGCAGGCTCCACACCCAGTGTGGAGCCCAAGATGCAGACGGGCCTCACAAACCATGAGATCATGACCTGAACCGAGATCAAGAGTCAGACGTTTAGCTGAGCCACCCAGGTGCCCCAAGGAGCATTATTTAAAAAAAAATTTTTAACGTTGATTTATTTTTGAGACAGAGACAGAGTGCGAAGGGGGAGGAGCAGAGGGAGAGGGAGACACAGAATCCGAAGCAGGCTCCAGGCTCTGAGCTGTTAACACAGAACCTGATGCAGTGCAGGGCTCGAACTCACAAACTATGAGATCATGACTCGAGCCGCAGTCGGGCACCTGATCAACTGAGCCACCCAGACGCCCCTTTAAAAAAAAAAAAAAGAAATGGAACAGAAAAGAATGTGCTAGAGTTGAGCTTTTGCTTCTGGATATACCTGAGTAGCCTGCAGTGGAGCAGCGCTCCCACCAAGAACAACTAGGACAGCCAGACAGACACATGCATGCGCACACACACATTTCAGTGTGCTGGAGAGTGCTGAGAACACCAAACCTTAAGTGACAAACCCCATCGCATGAATCTGTGAGAAAAGTCAAGCTGGCGTTCTGCAGCTGCCTTTTCTCTCAGGGTTCTGCTGATTTTGGTGAACCAGGCAAGAATTTGAGAACTCAGGTGAAAGGACAAGGCAGAGGGCCACTATTAAATATGAAGAAAAAAAGCAGAACTTTTAACAGTCTTGTTGATTTGTACACCTAAAAATTAGAGACTTGAAAGGCCAAGATTCTGGTGAAAGAGAAGGGACAGAAATGGCTCAACAATATGCTGTTTTTTCCCCATTAAGATATTTGCTAAATTCTGAAGAAGAGGGAATTAAGAAGCCAAACAGAAAACTTTGAAAAGAGTAGTTTAACACAATCTCATGGTGGTGAGGAGACAAGGATTAGAGTTCAAATCCTGCAACAGAGGAGGGGCCCTAGTGATAACGTTAGCCTCTCAGTGGGGAAACTCTATGTCCTAGAAGCTGGGAAGAACCAGAAGATGACAAAGTTGTGCTCAAACTGCAATTCAGCCCAAGTCAGTTCAGTTTCAGACTGGATTAATACAATCAGTTCTCACAATACCCACCTAGTGAAGGACAGGGTTTATCCTCTCCGGAGAAAGAAAAGTCATCTAGAGACTATAAATACTTTCACATACAATGTTAGCACTCAACACAAAATTAGCCAGCATGCCAAGACATAGGACTAAATGACCTAAAAGAAAAAAGACACTAGAAACAGACTCATAACAGGTGAAGCCAATATTGGAATTATCTGACCAAAACCAAATAGTTGTTTCACATGTTTGAGAAAATAGAGATAAATCCCATCTTGAACACTTTAGTCCAAAATCTGTTAGCTGTAGCTAAAGAGAGACTGGGTAGCCTAAAGTAAGATAATGGAGGCAAAATGGGAGAGGAGTACGTGTGCATGGCAGGAAGGCACTGCTTGGGATGCTGAGGCCTAGCCAAGACACAGAGAAAGCTTTGGGCTTTGGGCTCAAAGAGGTAGATGAGGAGGGATAGATGTGCTGGAAGTCTGGCTACACACAGGGATGGATCAAGTGAGTGATTATGTTGAAAATAAGGGGGATAAGGTTTTGTATTGTTAGAAAAAACAATTATAGGGGCACCTCGGTGGCTCAGTCAATTAAGCATCCGACTTCAGCTCAGGTCATGATCTCATGGCTTGTGAGCATGAGCCCCGTGTTTGGGTCTGTGCTGACAGCTCAGAGCCTGGAGCCTGTTTCAGATTTTGTGTCTGCCCCTCTCTCTCCCCCTCCCATGCTCCCACTCTGTCTCTCAAAAATAAATAAACATGAAAAAAAAAAAAAAACAGAAAGAAAGAAAAAGAAAAAGCAATTACAAATGGGGAAAGGGAGAACACTAGAATGAATCCTGTGGTGTTGGATTGGGATTGGAGAGAAAAATGTGAACTCATGGTTTCCAATATATATAGGCAGATACAGAAATTACATACAAACATTGATTTCCCACCTCTGTAGGAAATGGTCTGGAAGTTGTGATATCCCAACATCAATGAGTACACCTAGTACTCAGATCTTGGTTTCTAAATAGTTTTTCATGAAAAGGAATGCAGGCTCCTTGGTAAATGACTGATTCCAGGGCCTGGCAGAAAATGCAAGATAGGGTGGAACTCCTCATTCCAAAAGTAATGAAATGCTCAAAAAAATGATAGGGACATGTAAAAGAACACAGAAAGCAGCCTGAAAGGAGCTCCCACTGGCCAAATCTGGTTCAATTTGAACATCACAATAATTATTGGTAGTAATGAATTAAAACATTGAATAAATAAGAGTCTAAAAGTCCATAATGACTAAATACATGAATAAATTGAAGGTTTAATGATGAATAAGATATTTATTACATAGTTTCAAAATACCTCCCCATAAAACACTAATTATTACTTTCCCAGGGTTGTGGTAATAAAGTACCACAAATTAGATGGCTTAAAACAACAGAAATTTATTGTCTCCTAATTCTGGTGGGTAGAAGTCCAAAATCAAGCTGTCAGCAGGTCTATCCTTCCTTCAAGACTGGCCAGAATCCTTCCTTACCTTTTCCTTGCTTCTGGTGGTAGCCATCCACCCTTAATGCCCCTTGGCTTGCAGCTGCATCACTACAGTTATCTGTTTTGGTTGTCATATGATGTTCTCTGTGTGTTGTCTGTATCCAAATTTCCTTCTTATAAGGACGCACGTTATATTGCATTAAGGCCCACCCTAATGACCTCAACTTAATTTGGTTATATCTGCAAAGACCCTATTTCTTTCTTTCTTTTTTTAAATTTTTTTCAATGTTTATTTATTTTTGAGAGAGAGGAAGACAGAGTGCAAGCAGAGGAGGGGCAGAAAGAGAAGGAGACACAGAATCTGA